ATCTACATATTCTTTTATAAAGATAAGTTAAGTTAAATTTAGAATCCCTGATTTTAAAATATGTCGTTAATAGCAATTTGTTCATACTTAATCATTAGGAAACATCAACCTTAAACGCTAATTACTGAAACAAAATAATAATTTAGGTTCATAATGACATTAGAAATTTTACAATTGTTTATAGACATTTAAATTTACGATGATATAATTTATAGATATTTAAATTGAAGAGAATATAATTTTTAAAAAAAATCATAAATATTTAGAATAACTACATTAAAAAATATGTTATGAAATTAGGAGAATTTCAACTATATACTATATATTTTATTTATACTTTTTACTTACATTTTAATTTTCTTTGACTTTATCTATTTTTTAATTCTTTTCACCTGCCTTTCTTTATGAAGTAACGAGGCGGTTTCTATTTAGATAATGAATTTTTATAAAAGTTCTTTACGACAGAATAAACGTATTGCTGTTTTATATTAACTGTGTCATTTCGGAATCCATTCTTTACATAGTTGTTCATTTACTTTAGGGAACACGCGAAAAATTATACTTTTTCCTTTTGTTTTTATATCAGAATTTTTGCAAGTTGCAATCGCGCAAACTGGCATTTCGATAATAGTTTTAAATTCTTGTAAATTCACTGCAAAAACTGAGGAAAGTCATTATAGAAAATAACAAATGTCTTAGAATATCTCGCAAAAAGAAATGATCCAATATTAGTTAGAGTTAGTAAAGCTGAACGCTCCGTTCTTGAAGCCAAAGTGACGTCACTAGAGAAAATCGGAGGCTTGGCTCGGCGAGAGTTAATTCAAAGGAGTGAACAGCCCTTCTATTCTCTTTAGCCTGGCCGTTACCAATCAATCTAAGTAAAAACATTTAAAATCTTATTTTTAAAAAATATCTATGAAATGCTCCTTCACTGGGTTGTGCTCCTTCACTGGTTGATTTACCCTATGTGATGATTTATTTATAAGAAGAAGGAATAAAAGTTTTAGAAAAGATTTTTATTTCTTCTGAAACTCTTTCTCTGCATTTTGGGAGTTTTTAATTTACTGAAGTATTCCCCCATGTTCAAAACACATTTAAAATTGAGAGGTCCATATTTTATTTTTTAATTTATATTTTAGCTACTCTGATGGCAAAATAAATATTCCAATTAATTAAACTACTTGATATAGAAGTTAGGGAAGTACCGGGTACCCGGATTTTAGTCTCAAGATCGAGAACCAGGTACATGGTCAATTTATCGGGTATTCATTTGTGTTCAACGGTACCATGTTCAGACTTCTACTATCCTCAAAACTATTCATAAATTTCGAATTGTAGTTTTTGGCAAATTATATCGAGGGGAGAAAAAGTCCAGCTCTTCGAATGCGTAACTAAAGCAGGGAACTTTTCGTTGCGGTATGCTGTACCAAAATAAAAAATAAAAAAAAAATAAAAAAAAAAACAGGATGAACAACATACTCAGATTTAACAGAGCATTACGCGTACTAGGATCTAGCGCAAGCGCATGAAAAGCAAATTGACAGAATGAATGACAAAGATCTAAATGACAGACAGTCAGAAACGGTCACTTGTGAACCGATTGTTGATTAACTCTACAATGAAAAGCTGGGTATTCATGAAAAGCTACAATGAAAAGCTGGGCCTGCCACCTTTTTATTCGCTCCTTCTATACATAAATGTGTTAGCAGCAAATATATATAACGTATTCTCAAAGAAATATCCTAATTAATAGTACAATACTGTTTATGAATAGTGAAAAAATTGAAAACAAACCAACAATAAATAAAAAAAAGAACACGAACATTTCTCCTCCTCAATCCTTCCCCTACTCCAGTAGTTGTAGGGAAGAGAGAAGGGTGCATACCCATTTCAAGAACCTCTTCTACTGTACCCCTAAAGGTTGCTTTTTCCGTTATGCACAAGGACTGTACCAAACCTTAAGAGGCCTGTTTACATTATGTCTATGGAAACTAGCTTCCTTCTCCTAAGCATATTCTTGGGTTTGAAAAATTCATCAGTTTCTTAATAATCAAACTGAAATAACTAATATAAGCAGGACATATTTTACTCTTATGCTGAATTTTAAGCCTTGATAAAGTTGGTACCATTGGAACTAAAAAATATGTTCGCAAAAGAGAGATGTCCGATTGAGAAAAGAACATTTATATTCAAAAATCAATTGCTCGAATTTCTTTTAACTAAATTAATATGATAATTAAATTAATACAAAATTAGACATTCTATTTATTATAATTAATACATATTTTATATTAATGTTTATCAAAAGTTAATAAACGCGTAATGATTAAAATTCAAAAATAACTAGAGGAAAAGGCGCGCCGCTGCACAGCCAAGGTGGGTTCAAATTACGAATCAAAATAACCGGAGATCCAACTTTGAGTACTAAATTATGCGGTGATATGCCAGGTAAATCCAATGAGTTTAAAAACTCTGTTAGAAAATCTGCAGCTTCAATGGGATCGCAAACTGCATCAACGGATTTGCATGTCACCAAGTTACCTGGCAATAACTGTTGCATCTACAGATTCAATTCGTTGACGTCCACATTCTTTGCTGCTAAGATCGCCCTTTCTGCCAGCCACTCATGATGAATGCATTGCGTGTGTACATCGGGAAATATTAGGCTAATGAGAGCATCTTGTGAATCAATGATTGTGCAGAAATCGTCCGGTAATTTAAGCATCCAGTCTCATCCTTAGTAACTTTTCCATCACCGATATCTAACAATTGTTTTGAGAATGTTTCAGCAGATGGATCTTGAAGCATTTGGACGCGCATATTTACTTTTAGTAGAACTTTTTCAACATTTCGCCAAAGTGGAGATGATTTTACGAAAGCATTGATCTCCTCAGCGTACATTAAACGTGGAATGTTAGTCTGAAATCACCTGAAAGGAGTAACAGAGTGCCGCCAAATAATTTATCATCATTTTTTTATATCTTTCAATGTCCTGCTCAACGCCTCAAGCGATTTTTGTGTGCCATAGTGCAATCATCCCAGATGATAATTTTGCAGTGTTTTAACACTGTGGCCACAGAAGAAATATTTTTTATGTTGCACACTGCATCTGGGTTGTTTTGAATATTTAGTGGCAGCTTAAATACTGAATGAGCTGTTCTGCCTCCATCCAATAAAATTGCCGCAGTGCCAGATGATGCAACGGCCAACGCGATGCCATTATTTGATCGTATTTCACCGAGAATTAGCGAAGTAATTAATGTTTTGCCAGTTCCACCTGGTGCATCAGGAAAAAAATCCACATTGTCCTGCTGAAACTGCGAGCAGAATGCGGTCATTAATGTTCCTTTGTTTCTCATTCATTAGTGGAACATTGCGAGTAACAATCGCTGCCATTTCTATCGTATTGTATTGAAGTTCACGATTCATGTCAGTGTTTAATAAATCAGATGCGTTTCGATTTGGCGAAAGCATACCGAAATGACTGAGTGGCAATTTGGCAATAATAATGCAAAGATTCTCAATAGCAATCAGTGCTTCATTGTACATAGCATCGCTGAATACTATTGTTAGATCGTTGCAACGTGTGCGTTATTGATACCGTATATCATCAGTCATCGAATCTTTGTGATATTCTCATAACGTTTCTATACGGGCCGGGAAACATGTAGCTAATACTATAGCTACATGTTTCCCGGTCAGAGCGAAGGAATACGCTTTGACCGTAGCAAATAGAAGACAATTTTGCTTTGCAGTACAGTTCAATGCTGCTTCAGCAAGCATACATTCCCACTGGTTGTTGTCTTCCAGCAAGCCGAGTGCAAAGCATGCATAGTTATATACTTTGGATGCTGATTTCCTTCGACTTTACGTATATCTTGAAATGACAATGAGCCGGTGTAATTAACCAACAACAGTCGAAAATAAAAGCACTCAGTCTGCCTTGAATTGACTGTAAATACGAGGCGTTTGATTTGAATAAATCGGGACATGCATCAACCGGTGTGCCTTGCTTGTGGGGTGTCCATTTTTTTGAACCCATGTGAAATAGGGTGGTACTTCTGAGTAGAGTAATGTCCGTGCAAAGACGCCAAAAGCATCCGTACGATTACCCAATTCAAAAAATTTGGTGAGTGTAGTTTTTGGTGGATTTATGGCTCGGTCAATCGCTGTCTCGTTCGTGAAATATACGCTCTGACCGTTTTAAGATGGACGGCTAAATGAATAACGGTTGGATCCCGTTCATTAATTGGGAAACCAAAGATACGCCAAACAGCTTCATTGGAGCTTCATTGGATATACTATTGTTTTGCTAAAATTGCTGGATTAAATATAAATGAGGCTTTTGAATAGCAAGCGACCATTTTCTTTCTCGTTGTCATGGCAACAATAGAACTTTACCTAGAGTCTTCATAATTGTTTGACTGCGTTTAGTTTTTTGTTAGTTCCTTTTCTGCAGCTTGAATTGTCAGTGATTGTGATGTAACTAATGCAGTTGCACAATTCATAACATTTAAACATTCAACAAGGGAAAATGTCAAACCTTTTGATATTTCGCACAGATAACAGACACAGTTTGGCAATGGTACCAGGGTTCAAGTATGAAAACTTGTGATGAATCTTGGATGCATCACTACACCAGAAAAAAAACTCACTGTTTCAGGTAATATTAGGTCAATTTGAATGAAAACACGGGTCATATTTTACCTATTCCATGTTTCATCCAAAAACCTATATTTTTTTATTTGTAATACCAAATATTAGATTTTTTTGAACAAAACTATACCTTTGAATGAGGATAGAAACATGACAGTTTCTCTAAAATAGGAATTTTGTAACAAATAATTGTCATAGATGTTAGAAATATTTAACTTGAATCTGTAGCTAATTACTGTTGCTGACAATTCTAAAATTAGTTATTTTCCAGGTATGATAGAGGAATTTTNAGTAATTTATTTCCTTTTCTTTTGATTTGACCTTCCTCTTTTTTCCAAATTTTCGGCCAATGTAAATGTATCTTCAAAATTTCTTTTGATTTTCCAGTACCATTTTTAGAATACCTCACTGGGTAATAAATAAGAAAAAGAAGTTTCGAAGTTTGTGTAAAATCCATCTCACATTGTCTTATATCTAGTGGATCTTCAGCAGTACTTACCATTTACTTATGGAACCAATTGTTTTTCCAACTAACAATGCCTCAAAAACTTATCTCAAAATCGATTTTCAAGATACTTTCCTTATCAATGTTAGTTGTATCAACTTCAGTGCCAAAGTTTGATAAACCAAATGTTCTTTTTGAAATAAATTCTTCCATATTGAGAAAAGCACAGGCTATTAGATATTTGGGAGATAAAACTCTTCTGTCAATGTTCCTTTAAAAATTTGCAACATAACTTGTGAGATTTCCTTCTCAAGCTTCTGAAGAAATAATATATCTGAAGAAATAATGTGAACAAAACTATACCTTTGAATGAGGATAGAAACATGACAGTTTCTCTAAAATAGGAATTTTGTAACAAATAATTATCATAGATGTTAGAAATATTTAACTTGAATCTGCAGCTAATTACTGTTGCTGACAATTCTAAAATTAGTTATTTTCCAGGTATGATAGAGGAATTTTCCAAGTTTTTGTAAAAAATTGCAATTTTCCCTGACTTTTCCTTGATTTTTATAATTAAAATAAAATTCCAGGCTTTTTCCTGTTTTCCCTGACCCGTGATAGCCCTGAAGCTAAGTGTCAAAATGGAATACAGTAGAAAAATAATTCTACATCATTTAAAGGAAAATCTCGGTTATCTGCTGGTAAAGTACTCACAAGTGTTTTTTAGGGCTCACTGGTTATTGCTACGTTGAATTTATTCATGAACGACTAACAATTAATGCAAATTATTGTTGTAAACATTTAAAGAAAGTCAAAGCAGCTTATAGTCATGCCGATTTCTTGCAGCAGGTCAATGCGACACTTCATAAAGTCGCAGTGACACAACAGAAGTTACAAGCCTTACACTGGAAAATAGTTGAACATCCACCTTATAGCCCGAACTTGGCACCATTGGGCTACCATTTGTTTGAAAACCTTAGAGAAGGTTTGAGGCAAAAGATTTTCGTTTAAGGAAGCGATAAAAAATTTAAGTGCCATTGGTCAGGAGGCTGTCTATTTTTTTTCTATGCCACCGAAATTTAAAAAATGTCCAAAACGCTGGAAAAAAGTATGTAGAAGTTCACGGATGTTATGTAGAAAATAACATTTTTGTTCTTTTTGTGAGTATTATTTTAATAATTAGTTATTAAAGTAGTCTCATTTATGTTTGATTCACACTCGGATTATGATATCATCTTCCTCAGATATTGTGATAATATATTTGAACTTACCTTCAAGCATTTTATAAATTGTTGGCACTTCAATCTCGAAAGCTAACTTGCCGGGAGGAGGATCAATTCTGGTAAACTGCTCAGCAACTTCTTTAGTCATCAGTTTTCTGGCAATATGTGACAAAAAAGAGTAGAGGGATATTGCCTCTTTAAAAAAGAGAAATAAAAAGAATTTCTGAAAGAAAAGAAAAATAAATTTAATATATCCTTTCATTCAGATTAAATAAATTAATTTTCTACAAAATAGCAATTTTTATCTGCAAATGAAACTACTGGTAAGCACTATCGATTTTCTAAAGCTGCGATTGAACAACAACCGAACTTTCTACATTGGCATTTCCTTCTATTTTAAATTGTGCAAAATTCGTAGCCACCTTCATGTAAAATAATTTTCCCAGCTATTAAATTAATGAATATAATAATGTAAAAGAAAATTTGATAAAAAGCAGAGCAAACTCAAAACGTCGAAATGCTCTTTAAATTCACACTGTATTTAAAAGGGTTAATATTTTATTTTAGAAATCTAAATTCTAAAATTGGAAATAATTTCTGTCTGCCGCTTCAGTTACAAGGAAAAAGAAATACAGACACGGATCTTATTTTTTCTTCACCAACAAAAGATATGGAACAGTCCACATATAAGGAAGGAACTGGGAATTGAATTACTGCAAGCTTGTTGTTTAGCAGTAAATTGTTTAGTAGCTAGTTGCTGTTTAATTGTTAGTTGTTCAGTACTTGTAAGTAATCTTGCCTCTCGGAAAATACCTGGAGTTCCAGGGAAATAAGAAAAAATATCAAAACAAAGAATATTAACAAAGCAAATAGGTGTATTCAAGTGTCTCAAAATAAATGTTAACGCCTGAAAAGAACTCTTTGCTGTCTTTATCTCCGAAAGATAAAGACAAAAAAATTAAGTTATGAAGTTGAAAACAAAAGGAAAAAGAGAAATAGCAAAAAAATTCTCGATTCTTATGTCGAAACTTTAACGTTAAACATAATATTTTCCGAAATAAATATACAATCTATCAGAAGCACTTTTGAAAATGCCGTACTATCATAAAAATGCCCACAAAAACAAAAGATTATATACCAAAGCGAAACAAAAACTAAAAATCGATCTAAGTTGAACATCTCAGTTTTCCAATTATATTGTATTTTCGTTAAAAAGTAAAAAAAAAAATGAATTAAGCCTAATAGAAACTCTTTAAATTGTTGCGCCATAATAAAAACGTCTTTTAAAAAAAAAAGTTAGATAGAAACCCAAACAAAAATCGTTCTTAGTTTTTTAAAAGAAATTAACGTAAAAAATTTCAATTTAACTTTTTCAAATTAGAAAAAAGTTAAAAAAGTCTTAAAAAAATTGACGATCAAAGAATAACGTTCAATAGAAACACTTTTTAAAAAATACTATGTCATAATAAAGACGCTGGTAAAAAGAAAAGTTAATAAAAAAGACAAAGGAGGAAAAACATTTTTCTTATTTATTAAAATATAACTTAAACGTTGAAAAATCACAGCTTTTTTGTTACCGTTATCGGTCTTACAGTACAAGAAAGAAGTGACAGAATAAAATCTATCATAAAATGTTCCTTTAAAACACCTCGTGCTATAATAAAATGTAAAAAACGACATTAAAAAAACATTCTCAGTTCTTAAAGCAAAAATGTTGAAAAAACAACGACATTGACTTGATTGAATAAAATTTTTAAAAAAAATCACAGCATGAAACACGTGGTTAAGTTTAAAATAATCTAGTGTCAATTCTTGAAATTACGTTTTCCATTTGTCTTCCAGACCATAAATTTGCAAGCACTTGAGTTTTGAAGCTTAGAAAATACATGTAAATACTATATATGATAATGTATAGTGTAATTACTATTTTGCATTATTTAAACAATTAAAATTCTGAGAAAATATTTTTTTGTCAATAAATATTTTTCCAAAAAATATTTAGCCGAACATTAGGCCGAATATTTGGCCAAAAATTCAGCGTACCGAATATTCGGTAAACGAGCCTAATTGGCTGAATACCGAATATTCGTTACTGCCCTAAGTAAATTGCTCTCTAGAAAGAGATAAATTTTACTAATTACATACCAACTCTTCTCGCAACACGCTGTCATCTCTTAATTTCTGATCCAACACTTTGAATGATGCAACCGAATCAACAGGTAGTTCCCATAAATGAGTTATAAGTTCTCTAAACGAGCGATCTTGTGTATTCATTCTAGTGCTATTTACTGTTGCTGCATCACCTAATAAAAAAGTTTTTAAAAAAATTACGATTTTTTTTAAATATTTTTTTTATTGTCAGAACTGTTATACCCAGAGTCTGATTTACGAGTTTCAAAAGTTGTAAGAGTAAAAAAGAAAAAATAAATAAATGAAATATATATATATAAATAAATACCACGAACTTTCTGAAAAGAAAAATACTATTTCAAAATTTATAAGTCTTAATATGAGTCTTAACTCGAAATTTTAGTTTACTATCTTTCTTAAATATGACTCTTTTTTATCCTCTTGAACTTTAAGTAATGGACATAAATGCGAATATTTTTTAGAAATATGTAGCTTAGGAGGATATAAACTCATAAATGACATAAAATATTTTCTAAAAAAAGATTTAAACTCAACCTAACCTTTTGTGAGATTTTTTAAAAATTAAAGATAAAATTAAAGATGCACTTTTTATGGTCTATTATTTTGGTCCTGAAGCAAAATCCAATAGACTCTAATGACGAGATATTTATATTCCAAGACTTTCTTGAATTGAATTTTTACCCATCTCAAAATTTTTCATTAGAATTAAAAATACGACCAACGGGTGTAAATCCAATTACATTTTACATTGTTATACATTATTAAATTGTAATTTTTTTTAATGTGAAACGTTTTGTAAAATGGTATATAAACAGTAAAACAGCTTGAAATATTAATTTTTAAGTATTCATATTCGCCATTCCTCTAGTGATATTTTCTGTTGCTGCATCACCTAATAAAAAAGTTTTTAAAAACATTACGATTTTTTTCAAATATTTTTTTATTGTCTGAACTGTTATACCCAGAGTCTGATTTACGAGTTTCTAAAGTTGTAAGAGTAAAAAAGAAAAAATAAATAAATGAAAAATATATATATAAAAATAAATGACCACGAACTTTCTGCAAAGAAAAATACTATTTCCAAATTTATAAATCACGCGAGTCTTAACTCGAAATTTTAGTTTACTATCTTTCTTAAATGTGACTCTTCTTTTATGTCCTCTTGAGCTTTAAGTAATGGACATAAATACGAATATTTTTTAGAAATATGTAGCTTAGGAGGATATAAACTCATAAATGACATAAAATATTTTCTAGAAAAGATTTAAACTCAACCTAATCTTTTTTGAGATTTTTTAAAAATTAAAGATAAAATTATAAACTTCAATGTTTAGCACTTTTTATGGTCTATTATTTTGGTCATGAAGCAAAATCCAATAAACTCTAATGACGAGATATTCATAAGCCAAGATTTTCTTGAATTGAATTTTTACCAATCTCAAAATTTTTCATTAGAATTAAAAATACGACCAACGGGTATAAATCCAATTACATTTTACATTGTTATACATTATTAAATTGTAATTTTTTTTAATGTGAAACGTTTTGTAAAATGGTATATAAACAGTAAAACAGCTTGAAATATTAATTTTTAAGCGTTATTTACGTAATATACCTTNTTTTTTTTTTTTTTTTTTTTTTTTTTTTTTTTTTTTTTTTTTTTTGGATGGAGAGGAAATTCACATACTACTATTTAAACAAATGAGGGATTCAAAAATTTCTTTTTACTTAGACTTGAGTGAGGCCGATACAGAGACAAACGGACTAAGTGATAAAAAATTTTAATGAAACAAATTCTAGTTTGTACCTATATTGCACCACAAAATGTTTATTCAATGTTATCGAATGATGTATTGTTTCCTATGATTTCTTATAACGCTGAATTGTATAAGATTAAACACAATTGAATAAGCCTAATTAATAAGTTGCAATGTTTTCATGTATGCTGAAGTTATTACTTTATGCCACTTGCCAATACCAGCAAGCCTAATTGAAAGCAAGCTAATTTTAAGGCAAAATATTACACGCGACAGTATTATATATAACAATATTATGTATTATATTAAAATATCAGCATCAATAATAATCAATGACAAATATTATATAAAAATATTTGTCGCTGTTTATTATTGCTCATTAAAATGTTTATTTTTTTTTTCAAATTAGCTTTTCGTTTCTTAATTATATTGCATTTAAACTAAGTTCCTTGTATTTCAACCTTACATTTAATCAGTGCAAGTAATATTGTAAATTACGAAATCTGACACAAAAGCGTACTTTCTTAGGATAAACATGCCTTTGATTTTCCGATAGATTCGGATTTCTGACCCGCAAAATACGGAAGGTAACCGCAATCTGCAAAATTTGATCTCAATAATTGGGTTAGAACAGAGATTCAAGGTTTGAGTCCCTTAATCTTACTTTTACTTTCTGCGCTTTCGTTATGTCTCGTACACTTTTTAAATGAATTGAAAACTTTTTTTACACAACTATAAAATTCATTTATCCGAAGATAATTCTATAGAAAAAATAACTTTTACTGAGTATTTCCTACTTTTTATAGTCTTTTAAAAATTATAGTCGAAAAAATTTTGAATTGTAAAATAATTTTTTTTCCATTTAAAAGTATTTTTTGTCATTTTTGTCGTTTTAAAAAAAATAATTTTACATGGCAAAACAAAGAATTTGAGCAAAATCGGTCAAATAGATCCGGAGAAAGAAATTTTTAAAAAGTCGTGATTTTAAAATTACATTTCTTTGGAATTATTTTTTCTTTTTCTTTAAAATTGCATATTTTGAAATGGTGTAAAAAACGTTATTCCTTAAAAAATTTAAAAACATGCTTGACTATAATTAAATAAAGTAATGAAAAACAATTAATATTTACTAAAAGTCATGTTTTGCATTGACTTATCCTTGGTTAAACGAATTTTTAATTGCGTTCAAAAATTTTTCAATTCACTTAAGAAGTTCTTGAGATATGGTGAAATATGCACATAGTTAAATTAACATTAAAGGGTCCAAACTTTGACCCTCTGTCCTAATCAAACTATGGGGGCAATATTTCCCATATTTTGGGGGCCAAAAATTTAAGTCCTTCGTAAAAAAAGTACGTTTGTTCATAGAAATTGTGCTTTTTGTGTTTGATTTCATAACTTTAAGTATCGTCTGCACTTATTAGCATATTTGCGGTCACTCTTCAAAGATTGAATTCTAGAGCGTGGAGATCCGATCATTAAATAAAAAGTTTTTCAGGGTGGTCCGTTATTACTATTCATTTATTTGTTAGTTTTTATTTTATTTATTTACTTTTATTTACTTATTAATTTTTTTTTGTGCATTCTACATTTTTATTTCAAGGAATGGAAATATAATAGCTCGATGTAGTTATGAAGAATTTATTATTAAAGTTTATTTATAAATAATTAATTATTCAAAAAGTTTTATTAAAAGTTTGATTTTTTTAACTTTTCGTTTTTATATTCCTCTAATTTATGCTAATATTTACTTAAGTAAATTAAAGAAAATTGTTTAAGATATACACTGTCACAAAATATACTTTTAGTAAAAGAGTAGCATGCTCAAAATAAGTCTAGGCTTGTAATTAGAAATATGATCACTTTACTCACAGTGCCTAAAACGCGAATAAGTTTTACAGATTTAATTAGTTTTTAATTATTGCCTAGAAGATTATGAGATAATCAGATCCATCATAATACACTTTAATAATTTATCAGTGTAATTCCTGGTTATGAAATTTCCTTAAAATTTTAAAGAATAACATTTTTACTATGAGCAATATTGTGCTCCTTTTTCAATATTTTTAAGCATTCAGAGAAATCTAGTATTTTAAATTAAGTGGTAAGTTTATAAAAGTTACATAATAATCAAATAAAACAGTTTAGAAAACATTCTATTGAAACATGCCTGAAACTAGTACGTTACATTTTAAATTAATCAGTAGCGTAAAAGGGATATTGCGTGAGAAATAAAACACATTTTTTTAAAAATTATAATAATAATAAATGTAACTATTTTATCACATTTTACCTAAAAATTTATACTTAAAAAAAATCCGAATGAAAATTCAAAGTAAATAAAAATGATTTTAAACGATTTTAAAATCTTTTAGCAGTTACAGGTCTTTAAAAATTATTGCACAATGTTAATAGAAAACAAATGTAAGTAAAAAAAAAATATTGTGCATAAATTAAAATAAATAACTAATAACCACATTTATAAACTATATTAATACTTGTCGATTAACTATATTAATACTTCAAAATTGTTGAGTAATGACCGAAAAATTTTTAAAAATTCCTTAAATCTCTTTTAAGATACCACTTACTTAAAAAATGATAAATATAGAATTATTTCGTTAAATTATAAATAAAATATCTAAAATTATTAATTTTTATTAAATTAAAAATAGTTTATTTTAAAGTTATAATTTTTAAAAAAAATTCTGAAAAATTATTGAGGGGGACACTACGTTTATGATTGGGAGTCGAAGGGTTGAGAAATAAAAAAACAAATGGATAATTACTATATAAAAATTGCTTTTAGAGAAAAGACTTACCAGTGACTTCTATGAAATTTGCCTGTCTTGGAAATCGTCAATGATTTCTTTAATCAAAAGCTTTTACGTCTGAAACGTAATTCAACTATTAGCAAAGTAATTTTACTTACTCACCAGTTACGAAAGTATCAGAGAGATAACCGACGTTATCGGATACCATGGTTGTCATATTGGCTAGAAAATTAGAAAGCTAAACCATCTAATTTTAAATTTTAATCAAGAAGGATTGGATCTATTGTTTTAAAAAATTTTATCTTCCCGAATGTTTTTCCCCCCCCCTAATTCCGAGAAGCAATATCTCAAAGTTGAAGGGACGCAAAAAAATATTTCGAGATAGCGAGTTTTTGAGATAACAAGTTCAGAACTAAATATGTTCTATAAAGTAGAAAAATATATTATGTAAAATTACTCGAAAAAGTAAAGTCATGAAACATAACAATAATTAAATATGTATATAATGATAGCTGTTATGAGTCTAAATATTTTTAAAAGTAAGACGAAAATATTTATGCATTAAAAGGAAAATAATTGGTTTACAATAAATTTAATTTGGGATTTTTCTGAAAAAAATTTACTTTCTATTTCGAAACAAGGTT